AAAGGAAACTGGAAAGAGAGAACATTAACGGTAAAGCTGGGAATAATAACGTTTAGAACTTTAATAAAAAATACAAAACAAATTATATGTAGGTATAATTAATTATTATGGTAATTTGAATTCATAAAACTCCATAAAATGAAAGAAAACCTATTTTAGTTCCTAAGAATATATATATATAAATATGGGTACTTTTTCCTGACTGGGAACTAGCTTTTTTTTCAAATTCAACCTGATACAATATTTAAACTAAGAATAAATTTCCTGAGGCCATTCTGAACTGTAAGACGGGGAGCTGAATAATATCTGCTTTTTTATATTATTTACATTGAAGGAAATATAAATTACAAAGATTATTTATTATGCATGTAATTCTACTTGCAAACGTACTATAGTAGTAAGTTGTATAATAATCAAAACTAAAACTTTCAACAGTTGTTTTATGTGTTGCATAAGCTATAGTAATATAAATTAAATATATTATTTATAATTTTGTAGACAGAGAGAACACGTGAGAATGTAAATATTTGATTGCTACATGTGATGATGATGATTATTATTATTATTACAAAATTCAACTGAACAATTTGTTAAGTAAGGCTTTTCTTAGCTTACTTAAGTAACAATATTAATATAAATCTATTTATATAAACGTATATAATTTTTCTGCATTATTTTAAGCACAGTATTGATATATAATATCCGCCGCAGATAAGTTTATTTTCAAATTTTCCGGATGATTATGCATCCTGTTGTACATCATCCTTTCCGATATCGGTGTTATAGTCCCACCTCATCGCACAATTCAGTAATAAAATCGGTACTTAAATCTCACTTTATTATACAGTTCTGTCTCTGTATTTCTTGCTAATGCATTGTATACGAAATCTGACGTGCAACCACTCATTCAACTCTAAATATGACCATTACACTATTGCTCAACAAACTATATTTTTTAAACTTTTTTTATAATCCTCGACTACTAATAGTAACTAATCACCAAAGTATTTTTAACCTCGCGAAGTTACTAGATTTTTCTTCATTGCAGCAAATGATTACGTTCGGGACCAAATCATTACCTCACTACGCATATAACTATTGATTTTTCGCTGGCCAAAATTTTACTATGACTCAGAAAAGTGTTATAAATTAAACCTACTAAAGTGACCGTAAAGTCGAACTAGAACGTGTAAATTAAAAAAAAAGTAAATTATATATAGTTGACCAGTTATACATGACGATAACATATATTGCATGCATTATAATCTATACGTGAAAGAAAAATTAAATTAATCTAAATACAATACGAAGTGTATAGGGGTTATGTTATCATACCAAAATCACAAAAACAAATTTTATTTTGTGTCAAGGGAACTGGATTTGCTTGATTGTTTCAGGAGACAGGAATAAGATTTTGTCTTAATAAGTTAAAATCAATGTTTTCTTCCTATGGGCACCACATGGAAAAGCGGTCCAAAATTTTAGGAAAACTGGGTCTGTTAAAAAAAATGGAAGCAAAAATAATACCAGTTTCAGTTTTATCAAATATCTTCCAGGAGAATTGTAATTTATAGCAATTTGTTTCAATAGAAAACCGTCATTTTATTCCAAAATTTCACAAAAAACATTGTCTGATACCCCTAATAGTGCAGCACACAAATAATATTTCTAAAATTAAGGAGAATAAATAAAAAATTAAAAAAATATCTGTTAGTGTCACACAAAATAGCTATGAGTGTTCATGCATGAATTTTTTTTTTCAGTAAGGACGACAATCTTGTTACAAAAAATAATAAATAGTATATAAATAGGTCTAACGTCAGCGACCACGTGACCATCGGCCTGTGATGTGTGTCGTTGCTTGCAGCTACAATTTTAGATATTTTGTAATGGTCATTGACGTCAGACCTGTTTATATACTGCTACTATATTTTCATTACTATTATCAATAAATTCATATCCATGTGATTTATAAAAATACTACCATACACAAAGTAATTTTTTCTTTCAAAATTACTGTCATAATTTTACCATTGGTTCTTATACAGAGTATGTGTCAATTGATGTTATTTCTTCATTTTAACATAGAAACAGTTTTAAATAATTAACTTATACACCTCGTGCTTATTTCCTCTTGTCTCGAGTCAGAAATAGAATTTCAATTACAAAAGCCATTCAATTTCCTGATTCCTCTCCCACGTTAACATTAAACAATCCAATGTAAATAAATGCATCGCATTGTCTGATTTTTTACAAGTTAAAGCAAAAGCAAAACTTGAAATTCATCAATAATAATAAGTGATTATTCGGTCACTTGGGGTCGGATATGGATTCTTGTTTCTCTGTTTTGGGCTAGATAGTTATTCAAACATTTCCACATATTTTAGAGCTCCCACGTACAATATTCTGCTGTTTGAAGGGCATGGCAGTTTTTAAAAGTTGCAGTATTACATTTAGTATACTTGATTTAGTTATTATCACAGGTTATCACTAGTTGTTAGAGATAAATAATGTAAAACTTGACTTCCATTTTTTAATACATTTTGTCAATTAAGTTAGCATCTTTGTGTGGTTCCATTTTCACTTTTCTATTCTAGAAAAGAGAAGACGAAAGTTTAAGATGATGAATGGACAAAGCAGTGAACACTTTATTCAAGATGTTAAATATTAATGAACGTCAGTCTCCGAAACATGGAAATTTAAAAATATCAACTGTCTGAACAAATTTTCAACATTTTTAGGGGATCTAAAAGACTTGAAAAGCAGAGGTATACACAAATATCACGAAAAAAGACTTATTTTTTAAAAAATGTGAAATTCGAAGATGAGTTTCTTATGATATAAACTTCTTAATCTTAAAAGCTTGATTGACTTTTCCGAACGCGTTAACTTTTAGGGTATATGCGTTCAAACTGAATTTGTCCTCCAACAAGTTATTTTGTTCACAAACAAGGTGGACACGGTTCGCTAGAGCTGTAACTGGACTTTGAGGAGTTGTATTACTCTTTCCAACTTATTACTGAGAAGGTCAACGTCATTATTTTTATCTATTCTGATGATAGTTGACCTATGAGTGAGGTTCATGTTGATCAAAGTAAAGGTTCGATTTACTTTTGTTTCTGCATCTTTGAGTCTTCAATTTGGATCTGTTTGCCAAAATGTAGCATGCAGTGGCGGCTCGTGAAGTTTTCTTCAGAGGAGGCTCAAATTTGAAAAGCACTACTTTTTATATCTTTCATTATCTGAATATTTTTTTATCATGCCCACGAGAAGAACACTCCTGCGTTGATAGATAAATAAACTATTGCATTGATTAGTCTTTTCAAAATTGCCCTATTTTCACCAACTTTCTGGTTATAGTTCTCAATATCCCTCTTATGAGCGGAATCTAAAGTAGTAGATGTGATTTTTCATGCCTTTCTATAGCTCTTGACAAATTTTGTAAATTATTATTATAGCCTGTTTTATCCCAAACTGAAGATTTATCACTTGTGAATAATACACAATTCCAACAGTATAATTTGTTTCTTAAAACCGAAGGCGTTAACCATTTAGTTTTGTTATAATTATTTTCATGAAATGCTCTGTTTTGCTTTTTACCTGTCATTACCATTAATGGGAGTGGTGGTGCTGGTCTCCCCTTTTGTTTTATAGCGATCTTTTTATCACAATCAAAGCTACTAAATTAATTTTTTAATAGATAATTTACGTATCTGCACATGAGACTGAATTATTTTCGTTGCTCATTCTCGATAAATAATATTAATATGCCGATAATACCAACTGTTTTTAACGATCAGAAATAAAATGCAAATAAATGATACAAAAAACACCTTAGGCTTTACGTAGGTACTAAACACCACTCACCACTGAATAGGGAGCACGCGAAACCACCTCAATGTTTTTCCTATTTACACCCGATGGCGCCAATTAATAAGAAAGAGATACAATTATCCGTGCGACTTGATCTGAAAAGAGATAAACTAGCCGGAGGCTAGCGGCCTGAAGCGGCACCCTGATCGACGTTGTAGCCAATGCAGTACTCAATGACGATGCGTCAAGGTCTACGGTCTCAATAGCAAGATGCATTCTCGGCGGAGGCTAGCTTCTACCGCTGAAGCCAAACGCGGAGCGGTCTGAATTATGATTGTAAGGGCGCAAATATAATTTTTTTTCGACATTTTGACCTGATATATGATGAAAGTAAATTAAATCAAACAAAATATCCTGAAAAGTAACAAATGTCTACAAAAATACAAATTCTTTCATCGAAAAAATTAGAGGAAGCTCAGCTCCAAAAAACAGAGGAGGCTCAGCCTCCCCTGCCTCCTCTGAGGAGCCGCCACTGGTAGCATGAGTGAATACATTTTAACCCCCATTTTTACATCTTGGAAAAGTGAAACTCGTCTAGATCGCCTTTGACTTCTGACAAGGGATGTTTTTTTTTTGAAAGGAGTTTATGAAAAGATCACCTTGAAATATTTTTAGTTTGGTGTGGATTAAATCTTGGTCAAAATTTGTCAAGCAGATTACATACATACAAACATGATTGTTTATAGCAAAATAACGTTTTTGTTATTTGGGATTTAATAGTTGCAAAATTGGTAAAGTATAAATTTGTTTTCATTTCGAGACTTCCTGGGCGTGTGCAAACACATCGTAGAAGCAGATTTACTTTGATTTACAATGACTCACCCATCTGGTAAACTTCCGTCACATTGAGGATATCGTCATGAGATTATCGTTATTGTTTGTAAACGCTTTATGTTGAACCGTCAATAAACTATTCTACACAGCTATAAATACAAGATGACAAAGGAAGGACAACAAGAGATTTTTAACAGTTAATGATCCATAGCAAACCTGAGTACCTACACAATATGCATTACGTAGTTCTGTATAAGCTATTCTTAAGAAACTGCGTCTTTAAAGTTTTGTAATCAAAACAATGATTGATTTTTAGAAAAATTAAAAAATAACTAAATGTGGAATCAGCAACATTTTTCACATCGATAAACATATTTATTATTGTTTTAAACTACATTTACTGTAGAATATGAATTACAATGAAAAACAATATAAAATAAGTTCTTAAAACGGTATCACAGATTTAATGAAATACTTCCTAAACAGAAATTACATCTTTATAGTTTCACGACAATTTCTTAACTGTAATTACCAATTAAAGTTCTCTTTGATAACAGTTCTAAGTAAATCTACGCTTTGTAAGCAACAAGTTTTACACATATTATTTAGTACCTACACAATCAAGCTCTGTGACTTGTGGTCCCACAAATCACCCTTTTCTTACTCCTCTCGTATCGTACATCCACACACAAAAATAAAACAATAATGATAAGAAACATCAGTCATGTTCTTAGTAAGTATAAAGAACTAAATATCGTCGAGAGCATGTAACCTCGAGTTGTGCAAGTTACTCGGGACAAACTCCTTAAGCGAGTAGTATCTATTAGTGTCGTCCCTGTCAACAGACGTGATGTGCTGGAAGCAGCAGGGTTGAGAAATATGGCTTTTAGGAGGAAGAGGTGCTGGCTTTGGCAGCTTTTTCTCTTTCTTCTTTTTCTTTTTCCCTGGAATCGATTTTATAATTGAACCTCATAAATATGGGAAAGAGCTATTAATCATACCTGGAATCGACAGCGATATGTTCTCGGGACATGAAACTAATCGCTCTATATGTGTCCACATATCATCGGCCGCTTGAGCGGTGTCAAAGCTGAACCCAATTTGCTTTGTATGATCCGAGGAGCAGCACATTGTATGGAACGCATTCCCAGCTACTTGATATGAAGATAAATTATCGATGGTGTCATTCCAAAGCATGAAACATGTTCCTCTTTCTGCTAGAGCTATTTGTATCCGCCTTTTATCCCTAGCGCGGGATTCCCCGATGTCTAAGACTACCACTGGTATTCCGGTATATTTTAACTGCCAGTCTTGATCTGATGCGGTTTTGAAATATAAGTTTGCCAAGGAACTGCACACGTATACCTGCAAACATAGAGCAAGAATAAGTGTGACGGATAAGGAACTGATGCATCTCTATTGTAAATATTTATGGCAATTATTTGTTAAATGGGAGGGATTGATTTGCCTGAAATAGACAATGTTATGGGATGACGCAATACTAAAATAAACTATTATTTATATCCGTGATTCATTTTTGCTAACTTATCTCGCAGTTTCATCACCAAGATGAAGAAATTTAAAATTTGCTCCCGTCAACAATAAAATTTAAAAGTGGGGAATTACGTTATTTGCACGACAAATGTGGCGTTTCGTTAAAACAAAAACAATCTCTGTCTGTACTCTCACACATACGTTTTACAAACATTGAAAACAAATAAAAATTTACATATACTAGTATGCATATTCCGAAAAATATAAATGACTAATTAGATAAAATTTTTCCTAAATAATTTATTCATGTTATTCGGCAGGTTTTAATAATAATAGTGCTAACAATCACTTTTCTTCTTCAGCTAGTGTTTTTAATTCAGATGTTTTTTTTTAACTGAATAAGTTAAAATCGTAAATTATAAGGTCAAACATGTAACACCCAGTATAATGTTCTTATTTCATAGTTGGACCTATTAACATAAAAACTACGAAATTTTGTTTGGTTGATGTGTTTGCTAAATTAAGTAACATTACTAAATTTTGACAACAAATTGTAGTTTCATTCACTACCATGTTACGTCTTAATGAGATGGCACCTTCGTTAATTGGTTACGGTTGTAAAAAACATAATTACAGTGTAGAGTGTAACCCGTGACGAGTACCACCAATAGGGTGTAACACAATGTGAACTGTAACATTAACGGTGTTTTTTGGTTTAGTACTTGCACATAACGAACTGTAATAAAAATAAATTCTCAAAAGTACATTCAGTTTAATTGAAACATGAATTCACTGATGCACATAAAAAGTAATAACTTGCAGAATTGGACATCTGGGGAATTAAAATATGGGGAAACCTAACTTGTCACCTACAGTTGTTATAATCAGTAGTTAGCAATGAGATTATGAGCGAAATCAGTAATCGAACGCCAACGTTTTATAATAAAAAGGTAACTGATAAAACATCGATTGTTATTTAGCTGCTATGGTTTGCCGTTTATTTCCTGTGTAGCAATAAGTTTATTGTATTGATAAGACATATTTTCGTAAGATAACGCATTTCACGTCCCATGTGTTTACATACACTCCAGTTTCACCTACATTTACACTTACACTAAATTTAGAAAATAATAAAATTATTAGTTGACGTAAAAACATGTTGAAATGCTTTCGTTTATTTCTCTATTCGTGTTGGTTTTTAACATTTTTATTATTCACTAATATTTGTGGCAATAATTTACATTCGGAAAGTAAATGTTATGCTGAAAACCAAAACAACTCTTACTCCAGATTCACTGAACCTAGGACATGAAATTTATTTTAAAATGCCAATATATAGTGTGTCAAAAGCGGCAATTTTTATTAAAATGGTGTTTTTGTGTATATATTTCAAAAATTATTATTCACCAACAAATACGTTACTCAAGCAAAAAATTTTCAGACTAATGTTTTCTAATTATGTTGACATATTTTTTTTGCAGTTCTTAGCTGGCCAAAAGTGTTTCCTCTAAATTATTTTTTTTTAACATTGCACTATCTACAATAGAATAATGTTACCTCGAAAATTACCCCTAGTTCTTGAATTCCTTGGGATAATATCTTTCTTTATTTAAAAAAAAGTTAGAAGTTTATTGACCAGAAAATTGAGACTTGCTATCCGCTTTTGTATTGTTAACAAGTGTGGTATGTTTCCTGAATACACTGAATTTTTACCCATTATTATCTCTAACAACTACTAGTGTGTTTAAAATTAGTTTTCATTATTCTTTTCATCGTATATTAACCTGGCGCTACCAAATAATTATTTAAAATTTTTACAAATTCTTGAGCGTTAAATTTGCTTGAGTCGTCGAAAATGACAACAAGAATGTATTCTAGAAAAATTGGTCGAAAAAAGTACAGTCCAAGAAATCCAGTTTTTTTGAAAAATTATAAAATTTGATTTTGCGACTTTTGTTTTGTGATAACCTCTATAAGATAAAAACCACGAACGGGAAAAATGATTATTAGTAAATACTTAACTTCGATTGTTCACAAGTATGCTTATACAACGAAAAAATGCGACGATTAAGGACGTACCAAGGTACATGATTGGAATGATTTTATCTCCTCAAAACAGAGTAGTCGACTAATAAAACTATTAATTAAGCTACAATAGAGGAAAACGTTGTGAATATTATTATTATTATTCTCATTTTATTATTATTAAATATAGGCGAGCGTAACATTACTGTATTCTTAAACTTAAAATGGGATGACTCGTTCCTGACTGGATCAATAACCTAACATTAGTGCTCTTATACTAGTGTAAAAGTGATCATGCAATTTGGATTTTTTTGCCAAAATCTGAATACCTGGATCAAAAAACGAAGGCGAATTTATAAACCACAAGTAGAAATACGTTATTTGTGGGGATGATTAGCCAAATTTTGGTTAGCGTTTTACCATCTACATAACATATTCCTAGTATTTATGTACAAAATTTGACAACAATCGGTACAGTATTTTCGAAGATTATCTGTCTAATTAAAGTCAACACAAACAGATACCATACACATGAGAGATAAACGGAAACGAGAGACCTATTTTTTCGTACTCTAGGGGTCGAAATATACGAAAGTATATACTTCCATTGCGTATACTCGGGAAGTAAAAATTATTATTAATCTTTTACGAATAAATTTATCCAAACGTTGAAGATGAAAGGAGGTAGTGAGTTGCTTATTGCCTTTCCTTTATGATAAAGGAAAAGTTGATTCACTTAGACGTTCGTTAGCAAAAAAACTTAAGGAAACTCATTAACAATTTGTAATCTTTGCATAAGAAAAATTGTTTTTGTTAAGGTGAAAAAATCTTCATCGTTGACTACTCACCCATTCGCTACTTATGGGCCAGTTTTCATTACCATTATCATTATTATAACATACTACTATTTAAAATGGCATCAGGTAAAACTCACTTTCATATCATGGGGAAATTCTGTAACCGCTGAACTTTTTAAATTAATTTAAATTTAAAAATTCCCAACCTGACAAAATTCATAGTTCCACTTGTTTCAGGAATCAATGCATATATTTTCAAAGTTTCCAAGCGGTTAACCCACAAATTTAATAATTCATCCATCCGACAGTTAAGTCTGACAATAAAAAAATTCAGCAGATTCATTAATAATAATAATAGTAAAGTACAGTTGTGTTAATACACAGAAAATAATAGTAAATTTTACTGAGTGAATTTATTGTAAAATTTAATTAATTGCTTCAGACAAGTCCTGCTTCAATTCTCTTTTTTCACTATTCCGTCCGGAAAAACTTTATTCTTTTTTAAAAACTTGTGTATTCACAACGACTCAAAACAAAAAAAAGCCGGAATCAGCTCACAAATTTATGATTTTTCATTTCAACGGACAATTTTAGTAACACTGCGAAAAGTGTCTTCCTTTATAACTGACTTTTCAAAATCTGATGTGAATTTGCAACAAAAGCGTGAATACTTTCCGAATAAAATAAAAATACTGACATTATTTGCCTTTTGCATCTAGATAGTGTTAGCAAAAATGTCAGTGGACTTTGTGTGAAAGTTGATTTGACAATTTCTGTATAATTTCGAAATTTTGAAAACATTTAAGACAGTATTCAGTGCATATGCTGGTCCCATCCGTTTCAAGTAAAGTTTTAATGAAATTTATTTAAGTGGCAACAAATAATAACACTTTTGTATAAATCAGCATTTCACATTTGGAAAAATCGCAGATGTGATACCTATCTATCAGTATCTTATTTGTAGTAAAAGTTTACAGATATGCAATTATAAATAAACATTATTAATTTCTGCTTTTATCATATTTGATTAGCAGTTGCAGATTGCCTACTTGTGGATTCTAACTGGATTATGTTTAAAGCATCTACTTTATTTTTATAGTACATGTTATCTGTAATATTTTTTCCAAGTACCGAATTCGAAAAAAGTTTAAAAATATGCTCAAACGACACCATTACACTTCAATTTTTACGTAACAGACACAAAAATAACTAGTGTGTAAAATATTACTTTCGCAAAACAGACACCTATCTCAGTTTTTAAGACGGTTATTGCGAATGTTCATGCTTGTTTTTCAATACTGGTTTTGAAAGACAGGTAACATATGCAAACACCCGGAAATTACAAACTAATTAAAGCGTGGCTACCAATTTTATAATAGAAGTGTTGTAATTAACACAAAATCGATCAAAATGCATAACAAAAGAAATTATAAAGTATAATTTTCGCCCTTGAAAAAGTTTAATTATAATGGTATTCAAAGTACACCATTTCAAGTGATATCGTTAAAAATTTAAAACCTCTGTAAACAACCGACATAGCACCAAGTTTACTGCAGTTTACTAGTTCATAAAAGCGTACTTGCCAGTAAAATGAAAATCCGCCGATAAAATTTAACGCCAAGAAGGTGTGAAAAAACTTGAAAACGATCCGCCATAAAGTTCTTCAGCAATTCGCATAAAGAAAAAATCCTTCGTCTGAACAGCTCTTGCATTTCTAATCAAGAGTTCATTTCTCTTTATGTCTCAAGATAAAAGTATCAGTTGTTACTCATGGAAGTGGCTGTGTTTTATTGTCTAGGTCTTGATCTTCCTATGACCTTTCTCTTTACGGCTGTGGGAAACGGTGTCTTATGTGAACCACTAGGTAAACCAATTTGCGTATTTATGAAAACAATTACAATAGCGTGCGAATTGGCCGTTTCAAAAATTAATTTAACACGGTTTCCACTCGCTTTAATAGCAAATTCCAGAAAAAAATAATAAAACCCGACAATCGGCATACAACAATAATAATTACTGGTTTGTTTCAGCGCCGCGGACGTCATCCCG